TAATAATAAAGAATTATTATCAACTTCTCAGGAACTATCAAAACAGTAGAAGAGGTAAGGGAATTCTGCATCTTAACCTCACCAATAGGTAGGGTGTGTGTGTGTGTGTGTGTGTGTGTGTGTGTGTGTGTGCGCACGCGCGTGCGCGTGCACGCGCGTGTACCGTCAAATCAGATCTGACTGGTACAGGAGGCGTTTGCCCCTCCTTCTCCAGCAGAGCATCTGGTGGATTTGAACCATGTACCTCAGGGATTGCAGTGCAGCTTGTTGCCACATTAGGTGGTTTCTAACGAGAAAAAGGTACACCAATACACACAACTACCGTCAAGTTTTCTCACATAGTTTAACTTGCAGAATCGTGATCATTGTCTCCACAGACGGTCATCTCCCCCATGGAGATGGTATTTTAGTGTGGGCTGAGTGGGCTTTGTTCAAAGGTAGAAGGGTCCTACATTCCACTAAATAATTTACTTCCTTCTCTAGAGCATATTGAAGCCTCAGCTCAAGAACACAATAATCAAGTCAGACATAAAACAAATCTGGTTACTTGTGGTCCTTGTTCGCCCTTGGAGCCTCTTGGTCCTCTGACATTACTGTTCTGTCCTGGATCACCCTAGAGAAAGATTTACAATGTATTTCAGAACCAAACTCGAAGAGCCTGCTCTACAAAATGATATGATACCCAAGTACGATGATAATTTGAATTAAAGGTGGAAGAATAGAGGACATTCTCTGACTTTGAAGCTCACAGGACTGTCAGAAATCTGAAAGCAGAATTATTTTATGTAGGGAGGTGTTTTGGTGATGAAGAATGTGAATATTTCCTGGTCCAAGTATCCAATGCCATGTCCCCAAACATGACAACAGGTCTGCAAAAAGCTAACCTGCAGATCTGCAAAATCTGAAGCCCAAGACCCAAAACTATTCAAATTTCCCCCCAGAGGAATTTGAAAACTCAGTCTACCATGAAGGGTTGGAATATGAAGAAAACGTCAGTGGGAATGTTTCGTATAATCAGTTCTTATCAGATGCAGACAATTTCTTTTCCCAAACACCGAAGCCTCCAGCAAACATCAGCCACCCTCACCCCCAAGACAAGCATTTGTATAAAGGTTAGCTAATAGAGGAGGAACTTACAGGGTCCCCTGGAAAGCCCTTCTCCCCATATCTCCCTGGGAGGCCTTGGAAGCCTGGGCTGCCCTAAAAAAAAAAAAAAAAAGGAAATGAGTTTCTAAGGTGGTTTGTAGGTTTCCACAATGCTGCCAATATGTCAAAACGTGTGTGTGAGGGGGTGTGTATGAGAGAGACACCCATCAAATAATCAGTCCCTGCCGTCATATGCATCACAGCCACGCTCCGCCAGGCTGTCAGCCAGTTATAAGACTTCCTCTCCTCCCATGCAGATGACACAACCTTGCTTGCTGAAAGCGAGAAGGGCAGGGCCTGAAGGATCTGCTGCAGAAGATCAATACGGATTGAAGCTCCGCATCAAGAAAACGAACATTCTGGGCCAATTGACAGCATCATGAAAGATGGAGAAGAGATTGAGATTGTTAACAATTTCAACTTGCCCTGTTCCACTGTTGGAGCCAGAGTCAGGAAACCAAAAGACAAATTGCTTTAGGAAACTCTGTTATCAGAGACCTTTCTAGAGGGCTGAAGAGCAAGGATGTCAGTCTAGAAACTAAGGCACTCCTGATGCCGGCCATGGCCTTCACAATGACTTGCTATGCTTCAGAGAGCTGGAGAACCACCAAGGCTGAGAGAAGAAATGATGCCTTTGAGTTGTGGTGCTGGAGGAGAGAATTGAAATTCCACAGACTGCCAAGAGAGCAAACAGGTCTGTCCAGGAGAGGTTGAAACCAAGCTGCTCCTTGGAGGCTAGAATCTTGAGATTTCAACTCATATACTTTGGGCATGTCTCCAGGATAGACCCGTCTTTGGAGAAGGACATTATGCTTAGAAAGGTAGAGTGACACACAGTAACTGGAGTAGTGAGGGTAGGTGTGTGAGAGACAGAGAAATTGGCTCAGGACAGAGCAGGGTTCAGAGCTGTTGTGCAGAGGGTCACTATGAGTCATGGTAGACTCGACGGCACGTAACAACAATAACAAGTTAATTACCAAAAATTCTCCTTTCTTCTTCACCTGCCTCTAAACCGTCTCCAACATCCCTCGGCTCTACCATCAAGTAATCCTTCTTAAAGACAATCTGCCTGTCATCCCACAGTTGGAAATTCTTCAGCGTCTCTCTCCGTTGCCAGTTGCCCAAAAGACAAACCCTTCTGCACAGCTGACCATCGCCTTCCCAGGTCCTCTCTCCACTGCTTGAGCCTCAGCTCCTGCTGCAGGTACTTCAAAGTGCCAGCCACAGACAACAAAGGTCAATAAATGTCCGCAAACCTCCCTGCCTTTGCATATGCTGTTCCCTCTGCCTGCAATGTGCTCCATCAGCCACTCCACCTTGGTAATTCCTGTTCATCTTCACCTCAGGGAGCACTGCTGAGCCCCCGAGGCTGAGGCGGTATCCCTAAGTGGGCTCCGTCCAGACACCTATGTCTACACTTCTGCCTGCATGGGCCGTCAGAGTCTGAGTTGTAATGAGCTGTTGATACATCTTTCTCCCACAAGAACATGACATCCTTGAGAACAAGACCTGTGTGGTTCATACAATGCCTGACACAGGTCAGGTGCTTAGAAATATTTGATAACTAGTTTAAAAAAATAAAAAGCTGTTTAGAACCAAGTAGTATGTATTCATGTGCTGACACAGTTTCAGTTCAATAATGTATACTGCACTGAAACAGAGGAGGGAGAAAACTGTTTAAAAGAGATATATAACTAGGTATTTCTGTCATCACAGGAGACTAGAGCGAGGGCTACATGGTGGAGGGGACCTGGGGGAGGGTTTGTAAAACAATGAAAGAATCTTTTCTTTTACTTTTCCATAATTTTTGGACTCATGTACTTATAACTTGTTAGTCAAATTTGTGTCTTCTAGGTTGCAACACCCCCATGATACATCTTCAAGGATATGAACATGTACGGCCAAGCACAATCAATAAGATTGCATCTAAATTCCAAAATCGATCTCCATAATAGTCTATGTGTTTCCTACTGCCAAAGGGGCCCTTTAGAGTAGTGAGAGAAGATCTTCACCCTGAAACCCACAGCGTCCCTTTTCAGCAGGAAGTAGCTAAGAGAATACGCCATCCCCTTTTCCTTATGACTCAGGGTGAAGTCTCTCTCAGGGAGGAGTGATAGGGAATGGCAAAAGGACACACTGACAAAGAAGATTAATCAGAACTGGCTTTGACAAGCACTGTGGCATTTGGACAAGAACAAACTGGGAGGAGGGTAGAGAGAATGGTGCAGCGGTGAATGAATGGAAACCCAAAATCTCTGTAAATGTTTATGAAAATTAATAAAATATAGAAAAAAAAATAAAGAATTCCTTGACAAAAAAAAAAAAAAACCCAAAAAACAAAAATACTTCACTGTGATTTTTTGCTAATCTAAAGGCCGCAGAATCATTGATTCTCTTGATCTTGCTTTTTAACATTTACTGGGTTTTGTTTGTTTTTTTCCTAATGGAATAAAGAGAATATAGAAGCTACTGAGAGACAAAAGCATATTTTCAGATTTCTGAAAAGCATGCCTGTAGGAGACCACTGCAAGCTTTGAGCTTTTCTAGCTGGAAATTCTTGAAAATGATGGTTCCCAGCTTGCCTCACGCTGAGAGACAGCCTCTTGTCAGTGGCACGACACTCTCATTGGTCGAGTCAGCTGCCAGTCTTATCCCACACAGTCTGCCTAACAGCCATCCAGGTGGCTTCTGAACACAATCCCTCTTAGATGCTGGAGAACGTTACCTGGGATCCGGGGTCACCCTTCTCTCCCTTCATTCCAGGGAGTCCACGGATGCCCTAAAAGAAGGCAAGGGAAACAAAATGCCCATTAAAAGAAGCCAACCTCATGATGATGCCAAGATGGCAAAGGCAAAGGGCTTATTACCTCCTCGCCGTCCAAGCCATCGATCCCGTCCTCTCCACGTTCACCCTGAGGGACAGCAACCAGCAGGAGTCAGTGAAGAGGGACTCAGTCACATATCTACTAGGAAACTGATGCCATAAGAGAAGGAAGTACAGTACCTCGTGCCCGGAGTGTCCTTTAACTCCCTGGAAAAGAGGAAACAGTGACGATCAAAGACGGAGTGGAGGTGCGCGGGCCGTGGGAGTAGGTGGACTGCCCACCACCCCACAGTCAATTACTCGTGACTCTGTCACTTTTTCTGTCTGTACAGCCTCGCAGAGGTTAGAGATGAAGTGTAATCATGGCCCAGATGCTGCCAGGCGACCAAGAAGCATCATCAATGCTCAGCTGGGGAAATGAATAGATCTCATCGGAGAATCAGGATGAGGGAGAGACAGTGGGAGAGATGAAATGGGGGGAGAGGTAAAACGGGGGAGGTGCTGCTGTGGATTTACATTTCCAATACTGTCTTACCTTTTGACCTCTCTCCCCAGGGCATCCTGCAGCCCCCTTCTCTCCTGGGGGTCCGGTGTCTCCCCGTCTTCCCTAAGAAAAGGACGTCAACAGGTGCTCAGAGGGGAGCTCATGACAGAGCTGTCAGGTGTTTGCTTTTTGAGAGACTTTCGACAGAGCAGATCTCACTACAAGTGCATTTACTTATTTTTTTTTTTTTTTACCGGTTTCTCCCGTATTCACACATGTCCCTCTGTCAACTCCCAGGCCTTCCTCATAGACCAAGAGATAAAAATAAATAAATGAATGAATGAATGACACGCTCAGCTGTCTCTACCAGGTGGCACAGCTCAAGGTTCGGAAATTGCTTCACTTGCCAGCCACATGGTAAAGCTCCCAGGACCACGCGTTGCCCCTGCGCTCTGAGTCTGCCTGGGGAGAGTCAGAGATGCTGACAGGACAGAGGGACATGAGCCCAGCAGGAGCAGTTGGTGGCAGGTGGCATGGCTGCCAGACCCCAGAGGAGAGAAGAGCCTGGCCTCCGGGGAGGGTCACAGTGAGAGGTGCCCCTCAGACCACCCCAGGTCGGGGAAGGACGCTCAAGGCTGACAATACGGCTGCTCCCCACCACACCTGCTTCTCCCAGGGCACGTGTGGATACAGGTAAGCCTTAGCACCAATGGGACCTCAAAAGGAAGGCAATTTTGAGGGGAGACCCTAGGTGTCTCTTGTACCCTCATATCTTTTGTGCCTGATGCAGGGCTGGTAGAGGGCTGAGGACTCAGTTTACTTGTGAATAGAATAAGTAAGCCAGATTTGACAGAGCTTAATGCCTGCCTGCCTTCCACATGAAGGGAAAGCAGTTCTTTCCGTCTGCTTTGCTTTCTTTATTTGGAGGATAATGACCAGTAAACATATAAAACTACACTGTACCTGCCGAGAAATACCGACAGCTTCTGATTTCCCATTACTGGACTCACAGCCATGTGCACACCAGCTGGTGGACCAGGCAGCACATGGCATGTGATCCAGAGGGACTTCTAAGCCTTTACAGATGAGAAAATGGAATCAAAAAGTCAAATATCTTGCCCAGTTTCTCACATAAGGTCAAGCTTTGCAGCAGTAAATGATAACCTTTTGTTGCAGAAGCTGTATAAATTGCGACATTCTTGATTGTTTCTAATTCCAGAAGTGGTGGGATTGAAGTGACTTCTTTCAGGGTGATGGCAAAGCCATGATCAGTATTTTGGTTCCAATATTTTGTCTTCTCCTCCCTGCAAGGGGAGTCTACTAGGCATGCAGCCTGCAGCCTGTGTGTATGTTCTCAGTCCAGTACTTTAACTGAGAGTCCAGGACCTCTGACCTTGACTTCTCTGAGCATGAGCCAGCAGCCTGCCACCTGACCTGCAGCGTTGGGATTTGCTAACTCCTGAAACTCCATGAGTCGGGAACGTCCTGTCCAGCCTGCTGAGTTTCTGTCCTTCCACGATGTGCATCGGGAGAAGCCGCCAGCCTGGCAGCTGACCCACGCATTAGGGGCTTGGAGCCTCTAAATCAGCATGACCTTTCCTGAACTCTCACTCCTCTCTCACTCTCTCTTGTTCTGTACTCTAGGGAACCCACCCCAAGACAGTAAGATTTGTGAGTCGTTCCAAATCCTCCAGATCTGTACATTCCACACGAGGTGTGCAAGCAGAGACAAAGAGAGTGGTGAGGAGGCCCTGGGCCTGGGATCAGGAGGCCAGGGCATCAATCACCTCTGGTTCAAGAGCAATTTCCACGACTCTCGGATACCTCATCTGTAAGATGAGCAGTTGGTCTGGATCAGAGGTGACAGCAGGACAGCCCCAGAGGAGCTAGCTTGATACTAAGGGGGACACCATCACAAGCCCAATGTCCACTGGACTTTGTCCATCCCAAATGGAGCCCCCTAAATGACATCATTCCTCCAGGTCCATTCTCATGCGATGAATGAACAAAGCAAGTGATCTGGTTATAGGGTCAAACACTGAGATCTGGAAACTTCTGCCTGGCATTCACTTCTCATGAGGTTGTGCCTGGGAGGGGGTGTATCTGCCCACTCACCCCCTTTCTATTAAAGGAACAGTGTGCCAGCTGCCATGTACTACTGGTACCAAGTCCTGGAGTCCAGGTCTGAAGGACTCCAAGGGGGCAGTCTGCTGAGCCCGGCTGGGGGCGAGAGAAGGACACCGTGGCCCTGCCTTTGAGATAAACATGCTAGGAAACACATGGGCAAGTCTGCTCCTGCCTCACCCGAAAACCAAGGGTATGATTCAGAAAAGGAAAGCAATGCCTTCCTCCTAGAGACAAGAAATAAAATAATAAACATAGAAACCAGGCCTACTAGAAAACAAAGGCTTTCACAAAACAAGATAAATCAATGGATTGTGTCACAAGAACTTACAGGGTCACCTTCCTCTCCTCGGTGTCCTTGGCTGCCCTTCAGACCTGGAGACCCCTGGGAACGAGGACAGAAGGATACAGGTTAGCCATCTCACATTAAGGTGAGCTTGGGAAAGCCGTGGCATTTGAGGCAAAGGGCCTCCTTCCATGGTGACTCCTTCCCCTGGGCCTGTGCGTCTGGGCGCAGCCTGATGGCTTCTGGGGCAGCATCTTGTCCTTGTGGCATGCCCCCTTCACAGTGGCTGGCCCCTGACCCTACAGGAGTGCGGCCTTGGAAATCCTTGAAGCTGAGGACCCCAGGGTGAGGCCTGAGCTCTCCCACAGGACAGCTATGGTCACCACGACTCTTTCAGCAACCAAACCGCATTTCCAGAGGGATCATTTCCTTCTATGCTGTTGAGAGTTCAAGGAAGAACAAGCAGTTCTTTCAGCCCCAGGCTGCTGTAGTTAGCTGTCGTCGCATGGGCTCCTGGCTCCAACATAACAGTGTAACTCTGCTCGTTCCTATGTCCATCCTGTGACTGACTGTGGACCACTGTGTCGTCACATGCAGTGTGTCCACTGGCAGATTTGGGGGTGGATCCCCGGTTCTCTCCTCCTAGTCTGGAAGCACTCCTGAAGCCCACCCAGTGTCATGGCAATGTGGAAGCTGCATGGGTGGTGACCGAGCGTGGGGTGTGCTGGCTGCTTGGGGAACCCCGTGTCCCACAGGGAAAGCGAGAATTCCACCCTGAACTGCAGGGCCCCTTAACATGAAGGGGGCAGTTGTCAGTTGTGTTCACGCGGCCCTGACTCACACAATCTATGCCTTAAAGAGAGGAGCTGCCCCACGGGGCTTTATTAGCTTTAACTCAGGGGGCAGCACCCCAGGCTTTTTCTTCCCCAGCACAACCACAGTCAAACCACAGTCATTTCTCCCTCACCCACATGCCGCTTAACTGCTTCATGGTTTATTTGTGGCGATTGAATTTGAGGTTTGGACACCACTTCCTTGTGGACACCTCGCTTCCTGCCCTATGTCCCCTTCCTTCTAACAAAGGCCCTCCATCTTTCTGCTGGAGAATTACACCCACAGATCATCATTCTAAGGCTGACCTGGGCAAAATGAAACCAGCCTAAACAAAAAAGAATGAAGCTTTAAAAAAAATCAAAGATGGACACGCAGATCCCAGGCACAAGTAAGATGTCTCTAAAAGCAACCAACCCCAAGGGATCGCGGGTGGTACCGCGCGTGGGGCGCTGGGCTGCTGACTCTCAGAACAGCAAACAGCCTTTCCATAGCTGCCGGCGGACAACTGAGAAAGTGACGGAACGTGGACATCATCTTAAGCATTACGTCCGTGTGGCCATCACCCAGGTCAGCAAAGCTGGCCATGGTCCCGCTGCCCTGCAGCAGCTACAACCTGCTTCCTCCACACCCCCAGACACGTGTGGTAATGCCTCCTTGCTTTTCCAAACAGGGAGCTCTGGTGGTGAGTCCATGAGGAGCTGGGCTGCTGACCCGTCTCTGGTGGTTCAAGGTCACCAGCAGGTCCAAAAGAGCCATTGCTTCCTGTTTGATTTACTGTCTCCTGACAACCCACTGAGGCTCAGCCCAGAGTCGCTTCCAACTCAAGGGCGAGGAGTGAGGAGTCACTATTTATTTCATGTTTCATTTTTAAATATTCTTGGTTAGCTAGGCCAGTTTAATTTTTTTTTATGAACAGAACCACACCCTATACATTTTTAAAATTGTGCTACTTATGAATTGTAGTTGTGCTGCTGTAAGTAGGCATGGCTCGTTCACTGCTGTTGCTAACGTGTGTTTTAACGCATGGAACTATTGTGATGTTTATTCATTCTGCTGTGGTGACTCGTCTTTTCTCACTGACGTTTTCCAGGGTCTGAATCTGTGGGGTTGGCTCTTTTCACCCTACGATTGTATTGCTTTGCAAATCAAGCGCAACTCTCCCCTAACAGCCCTCATCACCATTCAAACTGTCTGAAGGAGGCACAGAACTCAAAGCTGGAAATCACCTAGAAGCGACATGGAGCCATTCTTAGTATCTTCAGTCGCTCAGGTTGGGATGGGTGCCGTCAACCACGACGCAGAGCCGCCCTTCCGACAACAATGTGAACCTTGCACGTCCCCGTGATCTCCGTCATGCTCAAGCCCGGGTGCCAATCCATGTCACTGAGCCTTCCTCTCTCTCACCGATCCTCTACCATTGCCACCACGATGCCCCTCTCCAAGGACTGCTTCCCACGTAGATGAGATAGTCTCACCATCATTAGCTGTAAGGAGCAGCATTCTGGCCACACTCCTTCAAGACAGATGGTTTGTTCTTTGGGGGGTCCATGCGATACAACAGCGGTACCCACAAGAACTGTTCCGAGTGGAATCTTAACCGACAATTCTGGCAGGTATATTAGTGCTGACTGGAAGTCACAAACCCAACCTCTTGCTCCCAGCCCCATCCACACCAAAAGAAAAGCATTAAAAAAAATCACAACTGAACAGCACCTTCAAGGCTCTGAGTCCTGTGCTCCCATGAGGTCCTGGGGCCCCTGCACACTTGCAAAAGGTACAGCAGCAGGTCCTCTCTGCGATGTTCCCCTGGATAGAGAGAGAGCTTGGCTGAGCAACACTCATCAGAAGCTTTATTATATAAGAACTAAAATTAGGAACCGTAACTGACCAGCTGTAAACTCAGTCTCTATCCTGGGAGGGGAATGAGGGGAAATGATGGCTGCAAAGGGGCACCACTGAGCAACTGTGTTAGTGGCATCTCTGCCCCGAAGGAAGTAACCTCCACGCTTACAGAAGGCACTGTCAGCCTGGATGTCGTCAGGCCAGCTTTACAGAAGACCGCTTGGTTCACAGCCGACAAGCTCCTGCTTCCTGAGATTTTTGCAACACAAACTACTGAGGAAATGTTCACTTGATTAGAGACTGATTGTTTTAAAAAGTTTACCTATGCAGCCAACACATAGCTCTGGTGGCCTGGTGAGAAAAAGTTGCCATGACAACCCAAAGGCTCCAGCTTCTCTGGGGGAGAGGGATGGGCAGTCTCCTCCCCATGCACGTTACAGCCTTTAACAGCACACTGGAGGGTCAGCGATGAGTCTGTTCTGACTTGACAGCACACAACAACACACAGCCATTTTGCAAGGTGACAAAGAACAGAGGGGTGGACAAGAAAAGCACGGTGCTCTGGCCTTTCACACTTTTTTGCACTTAAGATGCTTGTATTTCAATCAGTGGAGCAAACAAATTCAGTCCTGGCAATGACTCGTAAAGGTTCCACCAACTGCATTTTCCACTCAACAACTTACCAGGTACTGTGCTAGCTTTTTGCCCAGTTCTCTCATCCCAATGGTCAGATGAGTCCTGTAATCAAATCCTTTTCCAAATTCAAAGCTGGAAAACGCATCATAAATAGTCCCGTTCAGAAGAACCACCAGCAATGCATCAAGTCCTAACCAGTAAAGAACAGACAGAAAGCCAGATAGTTTGTACATGACTCGTTTCTGCTTGGTAAAGCCCTCCACTGTGGTATCCCCGCTTCAGCAGCTCTGGGTGATTGAAATAGGGTGTTTCTGAGAGGAGATGATATCCTGGATGGTCCTAAGGGATGAATGGAAGATGGCCAAGGGAAGGAACCGCATGGACTACAGAGCGAAGAGCTGAGGAGGAGGGAAAGTCGAGAGAACTCGGGGCTAAAGAAAGGACTACGCAAGAGCATAGAGGAGTCAGCCGAGATGCATGCGGGAGTAGAAATGGGGGTCCAAGCAGGAGTGGCATCCACTTCCTAAACAGCATGCCTGAGGAAACCCTACAACCTTTGGTAAATGTCGAGAGTTCTAGAAAGGCTCATAGTGTCACTGTGAGTCTTGCTCGACTTGAAGGTAATCAACAACAACTGGGTGCAATGGATGCTAAGCCCTAGATGACGAGTGGAAAGGTTGACTGTTTAGAGTCACCCAGGCAATCCACTCCCCAAAGGGCACAGCCTGGAGAACCCTACAGGGTGGCTGGACACAGCAACTACACAGGGAATGTCCTTCAGCTGCTTAATGGAAACTTAGTTTTGTTGTTGTTGTTGAGCCCCTTGACCATCAGCAGTGCGGCAAGGCCGGCGTAGGGAGCAGTCTGAGGTCCTGCAAAGTCTCCCATCTAGGAGAAGTTCAGTTCATATCCCCAGGACCACGGGGGTGAAGGTTTTGAGAAGGAGAGAGGACACAGTCCCAAAATAAGATAGGAGATGTGGCCTCCCGAAAGTCAGCCGGAGTTATACCACAGACACCTCCAACAACGCATGCCCTGTGACAATCAGCAGCATCTCCAATCACCCCAAACCACTCTCAACGTCTGTGTCTAGCTCCTAACATGCTCTGAAGTTACGACATGAGCGGGGCATGCATAATGAGAAACACTTTCAAATCCACATCGCTTCCTCTCACGTGGCTAATCAGAAGCCAGAGCATCTTAGACTCCCTGGAGACAGGATCAGAGTGTATGGAAGCTGAGTGTGTGTGATCTGTGAGGCAGGGCCAGGGAAGTCATGTGTCAGTAGAGTCTTCACCTGACCTGGTCCGTGAGGGATGCAGGAGTGTAAATGGCACAGGGACTGTCTCGCTGGAAGCAAGAGGCAACATCCCTGCGTTGTTGACTGTCCCCGTCCCAGCTGGGCTGTGTCATGACCCTGTCCCTCTCCTCCTCCCACCACGCATGTCCAGGCTACCTGGCTCAGACCAGGCAAGTGCAAGTGTCTGGAAGGGTCACAGGGATGCATTCAGGTGGTGGATTTGCAGCATTTGGGGGGTGCGTGTGCTTCCCAGGATAGGGGCCCCAGCAGCATCTACTAGGCTCCCCCGTGTGTTAGAGCTCCTGAGTGTAGTCGGAGGCCTGTTGTCAAATCCCATGCTCTCCTGGTACCGTCCAGCTCCGTACCTTCTCGTCTGAGCCTGTCTGACTGATCTTCAAGCATTCTGAGGTCAGCACCCTGGAGGCCATCTGAAAAGATGAGGAGAACCTAGGGCAAGAGGAAAGACGGGAGCAGGAGGTTGGGAAGCTGAATTCACCCCAAAGGCATGAGGAACAGAGGGAAGACTGGAGATGGAAGGGAGAGGGGAAGACATGGTACCTGTCCCCGGGACGCAGGCGTGGCCCCAAACATGTCCCACAGAGACCGCAGGAACTGAGCGCTGAGATGCGTTGGCCCACTGACGGTGACCTCTCGCAGACTATCAAAGACGGCCTTCTGGTAGATTTGGAACTTGGGCGGGAACTCGGCATCATTGTTCACCTTAAAGGCCACGCTCACCCGAGCCTCTGCACCTGCCCCACAGCTCACCCCCCTGATGGAGCTGATGTCCTCTAAGATGCCTGGGAGGTAGGACTCCAGTCGGGAGTGGTGCTCAAACAAACTCTGTCCTGGCTGCAGAGTAGAAATGTCAAACCCGACCACCACATCGAGGTAGCAACCTGGAGACCAAAAGAAGGGAAGTCAGATGAGTGAGCGGACAGCAGCAAGGACAGGCAGGCAGGGTAGAGGCCAGGCCCTGGGGGACAGGTGGGAGGGCCACTCCTTCCTAGAAAAAGCGTTCTTGATGTTGGTATTGGCTGCTCTAACAGGGTATCCACAGCTGCTTCCACTGTCTCCAACCGAAAGGCGCCAAGGTCCAGCCGACAGTTGACGTTCAAACCAGGGTTGAGTCTCCTCGGCGTGGTTGGCGCTGTGTGTGTGGTTCTTTTGACAACAGCATTTAGACAATCATAAAGTAGCAAAGATCGTCAATGTTGTGCTTAGAGAGTCACAAGCTCAAGTGGTGACGAGAGCAGGAGACTAACGTGAATGATCGTCAGTGTACAGTGTGGTAGGAAGGCGAGCCAGGGACAAAGGCCACCTAAAAGGGATGTCACCATCCTGCTCCCGCTAGAACACAGGTGGGAGACAGCTCAGTGTTGGCAGACTGCGTTCATTCAAAGACAAGTTTGAAATTTATACTGTTTCACTCCGTAAAATTGCTCAGAGTCTAAATATATTTACCTAATTTAACAAATTGCACCCAGTAGGTAGCCCAGATTAAACTGATATGCAAGATGCCATATTGTCTCCTCTACAATCCAATTGCTTTACAAAAAAGCAGCCAGTGACCTGTGGGGGCTCTTGTTCACCACTGTCATCTACCTCCACGTATGCACCCCGGAAATGGGGTAGATGGGGTCTGGGGGGCTTGGGAAGACCAACAAGCTTTGCTAAAGAAATGACTCCGGTCATAACTATGGAAACGAAATCGGGAATTTCCACGTTGTACAAATTTCACAAAACTTTGCTGTTTATTGCTTTTTGAGGTACTACTGGCCCAAATTCCCAGGACTTGAGACCCACAGGACCACTCTAAGCTGCATCTGGCCAGTACACACCCTGCCGATGGTCTCCAGGCCCCCACCTCGTCTCCTTGCGCCCCGCCCACCTGACTCATCCACGTTGCTAACCTGGCCCTGGCAGCCAGCTGAGCTGATTGTTTCTGGGTTAAATAGTCTCGAAGGACTATTCAATTGTTAATATTTTATGAGGATATGAAGGCCATCGTTAACTGAAAGAAATACACTCAGAGGCACATACGCAAACTGAGCCTTCTGCAAAATAGTTTAACACAATTAAAATGTAGAAACTTCAATGAACAAATACTCAGGCTGCCTTCCTCCTGCTGGGTGTCAAGCCTTCCAGCAGCTGAGAGGGGAGACCCAGGGCAGCGATTAGTGCCATGCTCTGAGTGATGCATGGGCCCTGGATTGTAGTGAGGGGACAGGGCTGACAAGGATGGACGCCAGTGCAATCCTCAAACTTTGCTAATGTCCCCTTGACTCTAATGGCAGTTTACTGACCCCCAGCTTCTCTACTCTCACAGCACGGTCTGTGAGATGCGTGGTCTTCTGGAAGCAGAGGCGAGCTCTACTTCACAGCACAATCTGTGAAATGTGTGGTCTGCTGGGAGCTCATCTGTCAAACGTCTGTGTGAAGCGGTGACATGGGAAGTGGCAACGGACTAAATAAAAAAGATGGGGAGAAAGCACTTACTGTTTTTCCCACAGCTCTGACAGATCTCCCGAACCATCCTTTTTCTCACATCCATGTCCTTTAATTTATTGAAGTTTGGAAAAGTGATGATTTTCTCAGAGTTGCCTGTGACTGGCAAGAGCTGGTCCTTGCGCACGTCTCCCACCCCCAGGGCCAGGACACAGATGCCCTGGTCTCTCAGGGTCTTCACGGCATTGGTCACATTGTGGAGTGGGCGCCCAGATGTGATGACAAGCAACGTTTGGGGGACACCAGCATTTCTTCTTCCACCAGCAGACGAGTCAAACATGTACCTCACATTTCGAAGAGCAATGTCCATCCTCGGGTCCCCTGTGCTCTTGCCAATTGTTTGAAGCCACGTCATCATCTGAACTTTATCCCAGGAGCTGTCCAAATCAATAATTTCCTGGTAGCGGCTCCCAAACTGGGCCATCCCAACTTTTATCCTTTGGGATTGAGTGTCGAAATCATCAATCAAGTCTGACACAAAGGTTTTCATGGTATCAAACTGTGAATCCGACACCTTATCGGAGCCATCGCAAAGGAAAATCACATCGGCCTCCTGAAGGTTGCAAACTGCAGTAAAGAAACGTTAAGTCAGTTTTTTCTCCCGTAAGTCACTGTACGTTTTGCCTACTCTAATACTAAAATTGCTTTAGTAAATCGCTGCACTAGGCGTAGACTGAGAAATGTTCATGGAAGAGATAACAGATTAGTCCTCAAAGAGAAAAAAGAATGAAAAGAGAGAAAGAACATGGCTTTGTTCAAAGTGTAATAAGTTACCAGATCCGTTTGAAAAGACACTGAAAGCTATCTAGACAGAAAAGGTAAGATGTTTCATGAGATGGGAGCTACTCACTGAATAACTAGAAGCTCCTTCAACAACTGCACTAACTTCAGCTCTTTAAAAGGATCTTTTGTGACAGTTACCCAATTCAATATATCACTTGATTTCTTTTTTAAAAAAATTGTATTATGATCTTAGCAAAAGTTTCCAGGTGAGGTTGAGTTCTCATTCACTCACTGATGCATGCCTTCCTCCCTCCTCTCCTCCTTCCCAGTTCGTTCTGTAATGCACATCTTGTTCTAGATTGTTATTTGTCATACATATAACACGGAACCTTCCAGTCCGTTCAGATAGGCCTTCCCTTCACCTATTCCTGTGCAGGTTTACTTTCTGTCCACTCTTTTCCTGCTCTCCTTGCCCTCCTCTGCCCTATGCCCATCCTATTTTTGTAACAGAGGCACTGTAGTCTTCCCGAGCTGACTTTGTATTGATCTGTGTTGCCTTTCTGATCAAATTGCCATTCTTAGTCTTTCTTCATTCAGATATGATGCTTCTAGGCTGCCCTGTCCCAGTGACAGTGCACATACTCAGCTGACTGCCCTTTCTCACTAGATCCTGGTAGTCAATCTCCATCACCCCTACAAGAAAACCCCACATCCTTCTGCTCTGGTCATTCTTATCTAGAAAAAGCGCCTTTAGCCATTCAAACTTCCTATGACCATATTCCACCCATTGAATGCAAATATTCTACAACTCAAAGAATATAATGCATGTTGCTGAACTCCGTGAATTCTATAGTACAGAAATTATTGAATTGATGATCTTCTGTGGGTATTCTCAACAACAACACAAGATACAATCAAATGTAAAAAGAGAGAAGTGACCACTTACCCCCTGGTGAATTGATGCACAGGCCTTCTTGTAGAGTCAGGTAAATATCCTGCAGTTGTGTGAAATTCTGTACGTGGAGAGCCTTCTCCTTACTGCCTGCTATCGTCTCCAGCTCCTCCCTGTTAGCCTCGCCCACACCCACGGCATAGATGATGACCCCCTTGTCTCTTAAGGTCTGGGCAGTGGCACTGAGCTTTTCTCGGTCGTGGGACACCCCGTCAGTGACGATGATCAGCATCTGCTTCACGTTTTGCCTGATGCGGCTGCCGTGCTCCTCTGTGAACAGGATGTTGGAAAACTCCAGAGCCTTGGCGGTGTAGGTTCTCCCATGCGTGGCCCTCTGCCTGCTCAGATTCTCTATAATTCCTGATTTGTTTGGGTAAGAATTAAGGAAGAAAAGGAGCTCAGGGTCGTCAGAATACCTGAGAGCTGCAAACTGGACTCGGTCCCTGCCGACGTCCGCCTTCTTCACCAGATGGACCGTTAGGTCAGTCATGTATTTTTGGTTATAGCCTATGCTGCCTGAATGATCCAGCACAAACACAACATCCAGCAGCTGGATCCTTTTACAATCTGAAAGAGAAGAAAGCAGGCATCACAAACCGGGCAGTGCATTAGTTCCCACTGCTGGAAGGCGGGTAAATCAACCCGCCCGTGACCTTCCATGTCACACCCTGTGTCTCTTAATACTTCAAGTAGTTGCTGGCACTTCACAGAGAAATCGAGCCTCCGGAGCACCCCTTGCTCAGCGTCAGGATTCAAGGGCGTCTGTCTCTTTGCCTGCATGACTTCTCCGCCTATGGTGTTTATAACCGCACCTCTTATACTGCTAAGACTTGAAAACAAGCAGTGCCTTTTGCTGACAAGCCTGCACCTCCAAGGAAATGCCAGGAGCTAGTTTAATGTTAACATACTGAGGAGACACGACTGATGGTTAGCAAACTGCCCTGCGGTTGTAAAGAGCGCAGGCGCTCAGGGAACAAGTGATTTTGACCCTACTCCTGGCGCTTCAGTTGTTTCCTGAGCTTCAGGTAGGACCGCATCTTGCTTGTGCCTTCTCTCCTGACCTGAACAAGGAGATGTCCTGAGTAGGAGAGAGAGGAGGCTCTTATCAAATCGTCCTTGTTCTCAAACTTTAGTGCAGATTAGGAAAAAAGGCCCCCACTGTGACTCAGTCCCCCAAGAATGGTCTTCCCTCATTCTCTCCCCTTCTTTTCCATCTCCCCATAACTTGAGCACATGCCTCCAAAAGATTCATTCTGTCCCCTTTCCACTCAGTCCATTTTACCTCCAACCCTTACTTATGGCCACTAAGTCTCAAATTTTCCAGTTGGGACTATGTCTGAAAGTCAAGGCTGTATTTGCAGATACCGAGGAAAAGGGCCACCTGAGGTGTGGTCCAAACCACGACTTGATAAATACTTGGGAATTTATATCATGTCTGAATCCAGTTGAAATTTCCGTTTTCTCCAGATAAGACATATGTTACTGATGGGATTTCCACAGAACAATCTTCATCAAAATGAAGAGATGTGTGATACGGTCCTGCAGGTTTCAAAGGTGTCTTTATAGACACCTTTATAGTCTGTGTCCTTATAGACCATGTTTCTTAGACTATTTTAACATCACTAAGGGTTTGGGGATCACTTAACTGCTAAAGAAATGAAAAACACTAGAACTCAAGCTATCAAGTCAGTTCCTAGTCATAGCTACCCCTCCACAGGATCTCAGAGGCGGTCAAGTTCGTCAGAGTGATGGCCCAGCGTTCTCCCCAGGAGTCAGGATGGATTTGAACCACCAGAGAAGCACGGCCTTTGGGTTAGTGGTATCACTTACTATAGACTATGCCACCAGCAATTTCTAGAGGGGAAAACAACTCCTCCAGTCAAACTACAACAAGAGCAGAGTGTTACCTAACATTCACAGTTTGCAGTAGGAGTTTCTGAAGATGTCACAATGATAATTCTGTAGAATGAAATCCAAACGATGATAGGAAAAACTTAAAAAACAAAAACCCAAGGAGACACTTGTTGCATGTCTGTGAATGGTTTTTAAGCAAGTTGTCACTCAAGAGTTAATTAACAATGGATGTGGTAAAACTTAAAATTGCTTAATACAATATGAAAAGCATTATAATTTATGAGATAAAAAAATATGCCCCCTAAATAATCAAGGGGGGAAAAAGCAAAAAATACATTTCTGAAGGGGTAGACATGTGTACACTGTTGCATACCACTGATGTGGAATCTACTCGTAGCTGATCTGCCAGTGGGTTTTCAAAATTAATTGCATGGGAGGAGAATGCTCATCTTTCTTCCATGGAAAAGCAGGTAGATTTGAACTATGTAACTCTGGGCTGCCAGCACAACTCCTTATCACTAGGCCACCAGAGCTCCCTCAAGATGTATGCATGATATGTGAGACATATGTATAGGCACATATAACATACTTACTTGAGAGAGGCTAAGGAAAATATTGTTATCAAAATACAACTTATCTTTAAGATAGCATTTTTCCTCTGTTATATACAAGGTTGTCATGAGACAAAGCTTGATGATAATCAGTGACACAACGCATCATTAAGGCATAGATGTTCTTGAGGAAGACGTGGTGAAGAGTGTTACAGTACTGGGTTTAATTTCATTAAGGGGAAGATGGGTTTGTATTTCTAATTATTTGCCACTTAGCAAATAATTATAATATTATTTATAAGAAGCCAGGAAACAATGCTGAGGAATAATTTGGGGTTAAAAGTTGGCTCCAGAAAGCTCAAGTACTCACTTATTAAGGAGTTGGAAGTTTAATGTAAAATTCAGAAAAATCTCTTGGAATAAATCTGAAGTCACCCATGCCAATTGATTCTGTTTCCCATGAACACAAGTTGCCAAAATTAATAATCTAAATGATCTCTGGAAGCCATTGGTATCTTATTACAGTGTTCATAACCAGAACTCAACAGTCTAGTCTAGGGAAAGATCAGCACACCTCCCATCCCACTATGACATCATGACTTGTGTCGTGGAGCCCTGAAGGGTCGCTTACCATAGAGAGAGCACACGCGAAAGATGAGTTTTTCTTCCATGGCCTTTAAGTCGTCGAATTTCTCCACGTGGAAAACCAGACTGCCATCCCCACTGATCTCCTCCAGCTGGGTTCTGTTGGCACCGAACACTCCCACAGAGAAGATGATCACACCTTGGTCCCGAAGCTTTCTGGCAGGTTCTCTCACACTGTCCTGCGCTTCTCCATCTGTGATGAGGATGAGAAACTTGGTGACGCCAGGACGGGCTCCTCTGGGCTCCTTGAAGTACTGCTCGATGAAGGTCAGTGCACTTCCGGTCAGAGTGTTCTGATTGATAAGAGCCATTCTTTCCACAGCGTCAGAAATGTCTTCATGTGTGAAGTACCGATTAAGCGGGAACTCTTCTTTGCTGTTATCACTGAACTGAACAACACCAATTTGAGATTTGTCTGGACCAATTTGAATCTTCGCTAGCAAGTCATTAATAAAAGTTTTCATTTTCACATAATTGGAAGGTCCTATGCTTCCGGAACTGTCTACCAGGAACATGATGTCAGCCTTCATGTCTTCACATCCTGTGTGTCAGGGGAAAAAATAACAAAATATGACAACGGAGAGGATTGAGTTTCTCATGGCAGACAGAATGAATAGAAACAGTAAAGAAGAAATAATGCATGATCAAAAACATCAGAACATCTAGTAAAAACATTTTTAGTGGAAGCCTCATGACTCACATCCTGACTCACAAGTCCACTGAACATTAAACAAGGAACCTTGAACAGTAAATGAAACTTCCAAAGTGTGTGTGCATGCATTCATTTCATTCATTCAGAATTCAGTCATTCACAATTCTTGAGAATCTTTGAAATCTCAAATAGTATTTCAAGTTTTAAGAATATAATGAGAACAAAATGCTGGCGAGGTTGTGGAGAGACTGGAACCCTTATTCACTGTTGGTGGGAGTGTGAAATGATGCAACCACTGTGGAAAGCGGTGTGGCACTTTCTCAAAAAGATGCAAATAGAGATACCACTTGACCCAGCAATTCCACTACTGGGAATATACCCCAAAGAGACCATAAATGACATCCAAGCATATATATGCACACCCATGTTTATCGCGGCTTTGTTCACAATAGCAAGGAGTTGGAAACAACCAAAGTGCCCATCAACAAACAAATGGATAGAGAAGCTGTGGTATATTCACACAATGGGATACTACGCTGCATTGAAAAACAAGGAACTCATGCAATATTATTCAAAATGGGTGACCCTGGAGTACGTTATGCTGAGTGAAATATCTCAGTCACAAAAGGACAAATACTATATGGTGCCACCATTGTAGAATGAGGCTGATATCAGAGTGAGGGTAAGACTGAGAAAAACTGGATAAATTATGTTTACTGCATTGAAGCCGATGAGGGAGAGAACAGTTTAAAAGTAATATATTTTAGGGTGTTGTGATTATCATAAGAGTCTGTAACGAGGGTTGCAGAGTGTAGTATACTTGGGGTGGGGGTCGGGGTGGGGGTGTGCGGGAGGGATTGTGTACCAATGAAGGAGTTTTTCTTTTGCTTTTCAAGGAGAAGAGCCAACTCGGGGTGAGGGTGGGGTCGGCAGGAAGAAAAGTGCAACAAGGAATGAATGGAAATCCAAAATCTCTGTACATATTCATTGAAATTAATAGTTAAAAAAAGAATATAATGAGAATAAAATACGCGATCAGGGAAAAAGCAGCCAATTCTCTTCATGCATTGGCGATTTGTGCAATCAATATGTTAATCATTTATCTCCTTCTGCCTGTCCCTTTTGTTTTCTATTCTCTCTACCAATTTTCTTACCAGTCTCTCCTTCAAACCTCACATAGGCTACACTATACTATCTTTTAAAAGTCTGTTAAGTTGTACTGGCCGTAGATGTATAGAATGACATTCATTAATTGTATTGAATAATTTATGTTGTGTAGGATCATACCTCTTGTCTACCAGGAGCTACTAAAGCCATCACCTCAGGCCTCAAGCTTCTCTGGAGCCACTGTGAAAAGCCACCTAGGGAGGTCTTGGAGCACGTGCACAGCCTTCCTTACCTTGTTTCCTGCAGATGCTATGGACAACTTCACTCTTTATGCTTTTCAAAGACTCGAAGTCCTTCCCATAGCTAACCCTTCCTTTTCCTCCAGCAATTTCTTGCAGTTCCTTATCAACAGCATTCCCGATGCCAACTGCATGGATGATGGCCCCTGCCGCTCTCAGCGTCTCCGCAGGGACCAGGACGCTGTCACTGGCCTGTCCGTCCGTCAGCACAATGAGGTAAGAGGGGACCGTGGTGGGCCTGCTGCCCCTTCCCTCTTTTATGATTGGCAGCATAAAATCCAGGGCTGCTCCTGTTTTCGTGTCACCTCCTTGTTGCTTGATATTAAAAATCGCCTTCCTCAAGTCAACCTCATTATCGTAGGTACTGATCCTGAACTCCACCGTGTTCTTGTACGAGTACTGCACAGCCCCCACTCGCACTCTGTCTGGGCCAATGCTAAACATCTCGGTCACCTCCGCCATGAACTCCTTGATCTCCTGAAACTGTTCAGTCTTGATGCTGCCTGAGCCATCGATGAGGAAATAGATGTCAGCTTCATTTGTGTCCACACAGCCTGCACAGAAAAACAAAGTGTAAACGCATTCGTTCACAGAAAGTCAGGACAGAACCAAGCAAACGGTTTTGAACATGAACACAAAGCAGCTATGGAGGTTGTGAAGAATGAGGACTCTCCGTGTTCTCATGGACTCTCTATGTTCGCATGGACTCTTCATGTTCACATGACTCTCTGTGTTCGCATGGACTCTCCATGTTTGCATGGACTCTCTATGTTTGTATGGACATATCCTTTACACACTTTAAAAATCCATCTGCTCAAAGTATATTTATCCCTCAGTGACATTTGTAAGTTGAGTTGTACAACATCACAAAAACCCAGTTTCAGGACACTCTCGTAACTCCAGAAAGTTCTCTTATTCAACTGGGGTCAATTCCTGCTCCCACCCCCATCACAACAGTTCATATTACTTTTGTAATAAGGGAAGGGGTTTTTCCCCAACATACCTGTTTTATCAAGGTCTATCTGTTCAGCCCGAGTGAAAAGGTAGGACCATATTTCATTCTGGAGTTTTTTCCGGAACTTTGTACTGTTGCCTTCCAAGTGTTCATAGGAGTCCACCATGGAAATCTTCTGTTCTGGTGGATACGACACAATTTCTCTTAACTGTGTATTGTTGGCCCCTTGAATGCCAATGGCAAACACTGTCACACCCTCTCGTAGACGAAGGTCAAGTGCAGCCTTGTGCACCTCGTCGTCTGATGGTCTGTGGGTGATCAGGACTGCAAGCTGAGGAACTCCATGGACCCTTCTGCTGCTGCCTGACTCTGAGAAGACTTCTCTCATCTTCTCTATGGCAGCCCCAGCATTGGACTGCCCAGGCTGGAGAGAAAGCTTCCGGATTTGCTGGTGAAATTGAGCAAGGGTTGTGCTTGATTTCAGAGGTGATAGAGTCTTGACTTTGGTACTATAGCTCATCAGTCCAAGCCTCATACACGTTTCGCTCACGTCCATGTAGCTTGTGACGTCCTCCAGGAATCCCTGCAGGTGTCTTAACTCTTGGTGGGTGTCCAATGACTCATCCACCAGGAACACAAGATCTGCAAGGGAATCTCTCTGACAGTCTGTGGTCTCTGGACCTATGGAAGGAGAAAAAAAGATGAGAATTCATGGAAAGCCCTAGGTCAGAGGGGGAAAGGCCCCTAGTAAATTGCCAAAAGGCATTACTGAAAATACAAGTGGTCAGGACGGATGTGGGTGGTCTTATTAAATTCTGGTGGATTAGAATAAAAGATCAGAATTCTTTCAGGATACTGACCTTAAGGATGTGTGTGTGTGTGTGTGTGTGTGTGTGTGTGTGTGTGTGTGTGTGATATTTCCCCCTGTATCTGAGGATTTCTCACCAATTTTCCAACGATAACCTGCCACCACCACCAACCTTTGCCAACTTCACTATCACCTCCACCATTCACGCCTCAACTGCTGGGATTCAGGGATGAGTTAGTTGGAATATCTCTCATCATATTTGTTGTTATTCTGTAATGTAGAGTTGGAAACGACACAGAGCTGACTTTCCAGTGGGTTTTCAAAGGCAGTAAATCACACAGAAGGAGATTGCCCATGACTATGCTGAGATATGGGGGTGAGGTTAAATTTACTTGGAACATGAAGAAGTCAGAGAAGATCGTTCTGAGGGAATAACGGTTGGCTGAGATACGAATAAAGAGAAAGATCTGGCCAAGACAGAACTAAGACAGACACTGCAGTGCTGTGTGACAGAGGATGAGTGCTTGCTTGCCTGCCTGGCTGAACACAAAGCAGAAACGCATGCTGTTGAGGGTCAGATTCCCAGGTTACTCTTTTCTGTTTGTTGCTATTAAGTGCTAAGTGCCACCAAGTTGTAGGCTCATATTCTGAGTGCCTGGCCACCTGAGCGGCTCATCCGGCACAATACCCCATTGCTATTCATAGGGTTACAGGGCCTGTCATTTCAGAAGAGGATGGTTGGCCCTGCTGCTTATTTATCCTGGTCTGAAGGCTTTGCTGAAATCTGCCCACTGTCGGTTACCCTGCTAGTATTTGAAAGATGAGTGGTATAACTTTCATCACAACAGCAACATGCAAGCCACCAGTGTGACTAACTACAGATGAAGGTGGAGTTTATATATATTACATATATGTATATCTCTATTTTTCTCTCTTTCTCTCTCTCTCCCCTTATCTCTATCATTATATCTATCTCTATCTCTCTTACACTATGAGTCCTCTAAGACTTGATTGCACTTAATAATAACACCACCACCAACATAGAGAGAGCTCTGTGGGCCTAGTGGATAGAAAGTTATGCTACCAAGCCCAAGGTGGGTAATTTTAATCTGTGGCCCTTAAGACTGGTTTTAATTTTGTCGAACATTCTTCTAAGTGGTCTAGCCCTGGTCTACCCACTTGCTGTACAGAGGTAACTCATGGTTGCTGTGATGCTAAACACTGTGACACTGATGTGCCAAATGCAATCATGGTTACCCATGGTGGACAGTGTTTGGTGGAGCTCCCCAATTAAAACAAACTTGGAAGCAGGAGTGGCATCTACTTCCGAACGAGCTTGCCTCCAGAAACCCTATGAACTTGGAGAAATTATGAAAGTCATACAAGCTGATGTGAGAACACACTCTAAGGTTGCAGTTGGAATGGTAGGAGTGGTTTTGGCAAAGGATAGTAAATATAGTGGACTGCCAAATGTACAAGTAAATCTGTCCTGGAAGAAGTGTGGCCAGAGTGCTTCTTAGCAGAAGAGTTGGAGAAACTTCGTCCCACGTACTTTGGGCAGGTATGTGAGGGGCCAGAACAGGACAACATGCTAGGAAAGCGGGTCAGTGAAAGAGGAAGACCCTCAACAAGACAGACTCAGTGACCGCAACAACGGGCTGAGGTACAACAGTCTGTAAGGAGGACACAGGACCGGACAGAGTCTGTAAGGAGGACAGAGGACCGGATAGAGTCTGTGAGGAGGACAGAGGACCAGGCAGAGGACACAGGACCGGACAGAGTCTGTGAGGAGGACAGAGGACC